AGGCCAGCCTGGGCCACTTAGGGGGACCCTAGCTCAAAATAAAAAGTCAAAAAAGGCAAGGACTAGGGACATAGCTCAGTTGTAGGGTGCTTGTCTGACCTGCATGGAGTCCTGGGGTCCCTCCTCAGTCACTATGACAACAAATCCTCTTGGACACTCTTTGAAGTAGAGGTGAGACCACGTTGCAGAGACTCAAGGTTCCCTCCCTCAGAACATGCACTGTTGATGCGCCACCAAGAAAGATGGACGACACCAATGCTACTCTGCCCTGCCACTCACGGCGAGACACACTCTGCTTCCTGAGATGTTACATATGAACGTGCATCTTGGAGTCTTTGAAACACCAATGAGAACGCCGCCCCTCCTAACCATGACAGACGCTGGCTGCCTTGAAGGCCCTCAGCATGTGTTAACTCCATCTTACAGATGAGGATACCGTGGCTTGTGTCAATTCAGATGTCACAAAGCTGGCTGTAAATAACCGTAGAGATGTGGGGTCAGCTGATATCTTTTGCTCTCCAGATGCCCGGCCCTTCTAATGGCTGCCAAACACTTCCAGTGACTGTGCACTCACTCAGTGGGAGAAAAGCTGGGAGACGTTTATGTGTGTGTTGACACCTCAGCTGTGCGTGGGCGTGGGTCTTTCCTATGTGTGTGTTGACATCATGGCTGTGTGGGTGAGTTTGTGCTCCCACCCTGGATCTCAGCATCTGGACCTGTAAAACAGGAAGGTGACAGAGACAGACCTTGCAAGTCTGGGAGGATTCAGAGAGGTCACACTCGTCCCGAGGATGCGTTCAACAAACTCACCTCTTCTCCCTCCCGTCCTCACTTCCTACCCCAGAAGCAGCTGTTAGGGCCTCAGAGCCAGCCGCTTCCGTAGACATTTGAGCTGACTGGATTTTCTCACCTCAGCCACCCCAGAGGTCAATTTGGGTAGGAGCTGCCCACCTTGGTTCTTTTGAGACAGGGTCTCTCATAGGCTTGAGCCTCCTCCATTAGACTATCTGGCCAGCAAGCTCGGGAGCCTGCTTGTCTCTGCCTCCCCAACACCAGCATTACAAGTGTGGGTTCTGGGGAATCAAACTTGGGTCCTTGAGTTTACAAGGCAAACATTTTACCTACTTAGCCATCTCCCCAATTTCCCTCACATATTTTTAAAGTTTTTTTTTTTTTCAAGCATTGACGTACCTGCCAAGGTGTCTGTCTCATCAGGGCACAATACAGTGGCTGTCTGTGTTATCTGCTCCCGGAGACAAATGTGGAGCCTAGCCGGCCCCAGCCCCTGATGTTCACACACACACACACACACACACACACACACACACACACACACACACACACACACACAAAGACAGATATGCACACAGACATACAAACACACTCAGACACACACATACACACGTATGCACACATGCATACACGCGCGTGCACACACGCAGAGACAGATATGCACACAGACACACAGACACTGGCATCACTCCACTGGCTTCCAGCACACAGGCCCATGGTAGAATCTTCTGGCAGTCTCCTGAGGCTGGCTCCCACCCCGTGAGCTTCATCCTGCCTTCTGCCATCTGCTTGTTTTACACAGTGCGGTGTGACTATGTTTTGTCATGCGGCTCTTTCCTAGTGTCCCCAGTGTCTGCTGATGAACACGGGTTGTTTCTAAGCTCCCGCTGCTATAACCAAGTGCCGTGGACCAGTTAGCTTATAAAGAACAGAAACTTTGTCATCTATCTGGAAGCCGAAGTCTGAGACTAAGAGACTAGTGCAGGCCCGCTTTGGCAAGGACTCCCCATGTTACAGACTGCCACCTTCATACTGTGTTCTTGCACGGTGTGAAGTCACGAACTCTCTGGGGAAACTTCCTTAAGGGTCCTCTCCCATCATCCCGTCGTCACCTCTGTTGGGTCACACATTGGGGGTCAAGGGTATCAGTGTAAGAACTATATAAAGGCCACAGTTTTTAAGGCCCTGACAGATTGCTCCCAGTCTGGGGCAAAGGTAGAAGCATTGCTATTAGAATCTTATGATGTTGTGGTTCGTATTTGAAGGTAAATGTGGGTATGTGTCTGCTGGGCATGTATCCAGGCATCATCTGCATATTTGGCATTTGTAAATGAGCCAAATCATGGCTGCACTGGCGTCCACTCTGGCCAGTACTGCTACTTGCTCAGCAGCCCCGTTTACTTAACATCGTGAAGACAGGAAGCAGACCCTGTCCATGGTGGCCAGGAAGGAACAGGCACAAAGACAGGGTTTCATATGGTCACCCTGAGCTGTAGATGCTGGGAGTCTTGGAGAATGGTGCAATTATTTGCTCTTCTGTGTGCCTCAGGGAGAGCTCTGGTCTGTAATGAGTGTAGGTGGCCGCTGGAGAACGAGGTATCCAGGGGAGGGAATCCACCCACAGTCTTCCATCTCTGATACTTAAGTGTCGACAGAGCAAAACTGGATGCTTGGCCCGCCCTTCCTCCACCTCTGCCGCAGAGGCCCGGCAAACTTGCCGCTGTGCCTCAAAGAGGGGGCAGCCTTGAATCATCTTAGACTGCCTCCTGCCGATGCGCCGGGCGACCTTGGCTCAGTGAACCAAACCGCCTGTGAGTCAGCTGCTCTTGAAACCTCACCCTGGGCAGGTGAAGAAAGGAATCTTCCTCAAAGATCATGCCTCTAGGTAGCATTTGGGATGGTGAGTGGATGGACGGACGGACAGACAGACAGATGGGCACACTAGAGAGGCAGGTTGGCAGACAGATGGGCAGGCAGAAGTGATCCACAGACAAATACATCATTTCTCCATTTGCACACGCGATTGTAAAGGCCATGGGGACCTACTGTGTGTTGTACAGGGAGCAGTGCCTACATTTTTACACACCTGAATCCTGATGAAGCAGGAAGTGCCGCCCTCATTTTATGAGGCAGAAGCTAACTTACATGTCGGGAGGACTCAGGGTCATATGGCTACTATGGGACAGATCAGAAGCCTAATTCCATAGGGTGTGACTCTTGTCCCCTAACCCGTGGGGTTGGACTTCGCTTCAGATGCCAGACGCCAGGAGGGACTCTATCCCAAGACCTTTCAGTAAGCAAAATGCAGAGTCAGGATTTGAACTGGGATTCCTCATACCATCACCCTTAATTCTACCCCAGGAATACAAGTCCAGCCTGAAACAAAGCCCGGGCAAACACCAGAGGAGGAGTTTGAGCAAACACCATGCCCGGAGTGCTTTAGCAATAAAGCTATAAATGAAAAGAAAGGCATTCAAGCTGTTAATTTTATAGAGATGGAAAATTAATTACCATAATGACTTCCATACTTCTTTTAGGCAATGCTGGCTTCTGGGGACTGGGGACGCTCTAGTGAATACAGAACTCATTCCTTCCTTCCTTCCTTCCTTCACTTCACTCATTCCTTGGGTGACTCCTCACAGCACCTGCTCTGTATACATCAGGAGATAAACTCACCAGGAACGTTGAGATGGAGGGACGGGCAGGCTGCAGTGTGAAAAGGTGTCGCCGCTGCCGCACAATGTCCTTTCATCCCGTCAATTCATCTTCAACTACCAGTCCTTGAAGTAAACTCAATGAGGCTGCAAATGGGTTGAGCACCCTCCATCTAGGCAGGTGCCTGATTGGGTGACATTGTCCTCTTGACACGCCCCCCGGTGAAAAGGCTCAATGGACCATTTGCTGATGGCGCTCAGTGCCCAGCAGCCACAGTTTCACTGTTCCTTCACCCCCGTCCCCGCACGGGGACTCCCAGCTGGGACAGATGGCAGACAGTGCCGTCTGAGTGGCGTCTGAGGGCCCAGGAGTTATTGGTTTGTGACAGCTCTCCTTTGAGACGCTGGATGGGAGCCAGGTATGATGGCATAGGTCTGCAGTCCCAGCAGCTAGGAGGCTGAGCAGGAGGACCATGAGCAAGGCCAGCCTGAGCTATGTGGTGAGTTCCAGGATAGCCTGGGCTATATGGTGAGAGTCTGTCTCCAAAAGAGCCAGGGAGGCTGGACATATGACTCGTTTGGTTTGGTGCTGGCCTTAGAAGCTCGCAGGCCTGCGTTCAATGTCCTAGAACCCGTGTAAAAAAGATACATACGATCTCAGCGCTAGGGAGGCAGGATAGGGTTGGTTCCTGGGACTCACCAACCAGCCAGCCTAGCCTACTTAGTGAGCGACATCCTGTCTCAAAAAACCAAAGTGTCCAGCACCTGAGAAATGACAGCCAAAGTTGTCGTCTGATGCCCATGTGCGTGTGCACACAAGTAGATGTGCACCTGTACACGCACACGTGCGACCGCCTACACACACATAAACATGTGTGCACTATATGCAGAGAGAGAGACCCTAGGTTGAGGGACAGGCAGGCCCACTGTCTTCCCACTGTTCTATTGATGTGAAGAGACACCGTGACCAAGGCAACTATTACAAGAGAAAGCCATTCGTTGGGAGCTGGCGTCCAGTTTCGGAGGTTTAGTCCGTTATCATCACGGAAGAAAGCATGGCAGCATGCAGGCAGACACCGGCGTGGTCTGAGGACTGCGTCCTGATCCTTAGGTGGAGACGGGGTCGGGTGGGGCAGGGCCTGACATGAACTTTTGAAACCTCAAAGCCCACCTCCAGGGACGTACTTCCTCAAACAAGGCCACAACTCCTACTCGTTCTAAGGCTTTCCAAGAGTTCTCCATCCCGGTGACTAAGCATTCCACTGTATGAGGGGCCGTTCTGATGGCCACCACAGACACTTCTGGACCTGGCTGGATCTGGCAGGGGTCGACATGGCAGGAAGTACCTGATATTACTAAGGGATCTACAAAGACATCTTTGCAGATTGCCACCCAGAACCAGCTCTGGGGTTGGGCGCAAGGCCCATGAAGGTCACACTGGCGCCATGGTGACACATCCTCTCGGTTCTTCGTGACTTCTGATGACTGTCGTGGGCCGCCTTCCTCACCACGGCCAGCCATTTCCCTGACTCACCCCGTTCTTTTGCCTTGCAGCCTCTGTAAGGGACGGACGCTCTACTCTGTGGTGAGGGACGCCAAGATTGTCCTGGATGTCAACAAAACCAGGCAGATCGCACAAGAAATTGTGAAGGTACTGTGAGTTCTGGGGCCCCTACCTGGACCTTACAAAGACCCGGTCTGCTCCGGCAGTCTCTTCAAAGGATCCCAAGACCCAGGGTCTGGGTTTAGACCACAAGTCTGGTGCCCCGGCCAGCGGGGTGTCAACGGGGGTGACCCATCTGCGGGAAAGAATGAAAGGGACGGGGGAGACATGAAAGGACGACAACAAGACAGGGTTCTGATCAAGCTGCAAATTTTATTCTCCTCAGCAAGGCTTATATAGCATGAGAGGGGGCAGGAAGGAGGGAAGGGGTGCACGATGTGCCGTACGTGCAGGTGAAGGGGGACGTGCAGGTGAAGGACTATGTGCAAGTCTGCAAGTCGTGAGGCTGCTAGGTGGTAAGGTCACTGGTCAGGGCCCATTGTCCTGTTGCTATGCTACCTGACCTGCCTGACCTGTTCTTTATCTTTGGGGACATCTGGTTTAGGGCAGGGGCTTGCTCTCTGGCCTAGCTAGTACTTTTCCATGGTCCATGTTTGGTTCCTGACAGTCTGGAACTCAAAGACGTTAGATTTAGTCTGAAAACCCCCGGGAGGGTATGTACAAAAGATCTGTGAAGATGCGCCCTTAGCAATACTGCCTCAACCTCTGTTTTCTGGCTGGTACCTCATGGTCATGATCCCTGCATACAGGCGATGGCCCGTGGGTACAGATAAGCCACTCAGTTCTCTTGGGTAGTGAGTGCATCAGAAACTTCTGAGTCCGCTGCTAGAAGCAGCTGATGGTAGGAAAGGCAGGGCACAGCAGCCCAGTTCATGACAGGAATATGGGGCAGAAATGCTTCACATCACGGTAGACCAGGAGGCAGAAAGTGAGACAGGAAATGGGCAGGGATAACATTCCCCCAAAGGCCCGCCCCCAGTGACTCACTTCCTCCAGCAGGCTCCACCTCCCAAGACCTTCTGAAAAAAAAAAAAAATGGTACCACCAGTTAGGTACCAAGCATTCAAAAAATATACCAGTGAGGGACATTTCAGATTCAACCCATCACCACTAGGAACTGGTATACTGGAGTCCTGGAATTCCTATGAGCACCCAGCCACCGTGTCTCTCTGTGGCCCAAAAAAACATCAAGTTGTTGAGTGTTGTCTTAGATGAAATCAGATAAGACGTCCCAAGTCTCCCGACAGGTGCCTTATTGGGGGTCTGCATCCAGGCTTTCGGTTCCCATCAGAAGTGGTAGGAATGATCTGTAGACATAAATAAAGACATGATAAACTGCTTAGCAAGGCAAAAATAAGTCAAAACAATCTCTGAATCGCTGGTAGATTTCCCTGTGTGTTCCTGATGCGGGGTCCCGAAAGATCCCCTGGGTATCTCAGGTCATTCTTCAGGGCTGTGGGCTGAGTAACAGAGGAGCAAGGCCCCTTTAAGAAGGAATTGAGGGGAAATGGCTGGTGGGATTCCTTTCTCTGGTGTCCCCCATCCTTTGTGGTGTCCTCACTCTTTCCCTCTGGAATACACCTCCCTTTCTTTATTCTTCAGGAAGTGGAGTGGCTCCGTGGAGATGGCTTTGCAGGGGTCTGTGGGTGATGGTGGGCTTGCGACTTGCGTACCCTTGGTCCCCTGAGCTCCGTGGGTGGACCCTCCACTCGGCCACCCTTGAGGATCTAAGCAGGGGTGATAAGTAAGTGCTGGGTGTGCCTCTCATGAGTCCCCGTCTTCTCATCTTCCAGGGCATGGGCTACCTCCACGCGAAGGGCATCCTTCACAAGGACCTCAAATCAAAGAATGTCTTCTATGACAACGGCAAAGTGGTCATCACGGACTTCGGGCTCTTCAGCATTTCTGGGGTGCTACAGGCTGGCAGGTAAGAGGTGACAGAGGGGACCAGAGGGGTTCTTGAAAAGTGACCATGGGGCGGGGGCAGGGGTAGGAGCTCATTCCTGATGACCTGAGTGACAGTTGGTGAGGGTCGTGGCTAGGCTGCCATGCCAGCGGGGGGGTCATCAAAGACCTTCGCTTATTCCCATGAGCTTAGTGTCTTGCTTACTTGTCCTGATAGTGGCACCTTTGAGTGTGTGGCACAAGATCTAACATACCTCTAAGTTTCACGAGCTCTTGCCCTGGGCTGGAGGGGCTTCCCCAGGGGATGGGGATGGCCAAACCCTGAGTTCCAAACTGTCTTAGGAATTAATTTTAGCCCAGCAACCCAACACAGCTGAGAGCAAGTGGTTTCAGGTCAGACCACCTGGGCCAGAAGGGGGTCCACCCATCCTTAACTGTGACCGTGGTCAAGATAAGCAGTTATCTCTGAACTCGAGTTTCCTTGTGTGTTTGAAAATGCCTCGCTTGTAGGGAGGGTCCTTATGAATTAAAACATGAGGATGCAGGACAAGCATTCAGCACAGGACCCTGAGTGGCATCAGATGCGGGGCAAATAGCTGTACTGCTGTGTTGTAATTAGCGCTCATTTGCATATACCTCCCCAGGATCACCCAGGGAATGATTAACCATCTTTAAGTAATTAACTCTCAGAGGCCACTCACCCTGGAGCCAGCCACATTGAGTCAGCCATGCGAGAAACAGCTTGATCCCAAATAAACAGCCTATAACTCAGGAGGTCTGCCCTCGCAGATTTTAATTTGGAGTGTGCGCTGTGTACACACGCATGACACACACACATCTGAACCCCCCTGCATCATATAATGAATGGCCTCTCTCCGCAGGGAAGACAGCACTGTGATTTCTCTCGTTGTGTTTAAGTTTCTGCCATTCTGGAGAGCCACTGATTTCTTTCAGGGACACCCTCCTGCCTTCTCAAAGGATTTTTATCCCTGCTGTGAGCTACCTTTGAATTGGAGTCAGAGTGCTTGGAATTTAACAGAACATGACATAAGCTGGGGGGGGGGCGGGCAGTGAGGGGACGTACAGCAAGCAGCCTTGGTTTCTGTCTTCTGGTGTCGTCTCCCCCTTCCAGACGGGATGTACTCAGTTTCTAGAACTGTCTATGGCGCGACGAGAAGTAGAGGCAACCAGACGAATAGGCCAGTAGACACATGGAGGGAGGGAGTCCACGAAGGACCGAGCTCCCCCAGCTTGCCAGAGAGAACCACATTCACTTTCGTTCGCCAGGACCCCGGGGTCAGAGCAGGGTTCGGGACACAATTGGTGACGTCACTGTGAACCTAAGTATTTACGTGGGACTGATGGAGGCTGGATAAGCGTTTTCTTTAACTTGATTTGGGGCTGGTCATAAAGTTAGAGCTCTCCCTCCTGGCGACCTGCAGTGTTAGTGAGTTCCTCACGGTGAACGAACTACCAACCACACACATACACAGAGCTCCAGGAAAGATTTAGCGTGGCTCACGGATCCTTGGATTCAACACGGCTGCCTGGTCCCATGGACTTGGACAGCCGTCATGGAGGCAGGGGCCACGTGGAAGAGGAACTTCTTCACCCCATGGCTCATGGAAAGTGGAGAAGGAAGGACAGGAAGTAGCCAGGGAGGGACAAGATCCTCTTAGAGACTCACACCACCACCCTGTGACTTACTCACCTCCAGCTATGGTCTGCTTAGCTGAACCTCCCACAATGGCCACCAACAGTGAGCCTTTGGGGACAGACCACTTCACAATTAAAATGTAACACCTAACTATATCTGCCCGCTCTCCTCCTTGAGGAAGGCGGGGGCGGGAGTCTATGACTGTATTCCTTACTCTGTGGTATTGCTGAGGCCACACTGCAGAGAAGAGGAAGGAGAAGCGAGGGGTCTTGGGTACTCTGTCCTTCCATTCCTCCTGTGGACTCAGTGTGGACCAATCAGGAAGGGAATCAAGCCAATTCAAAGATACGGTGGCTTCTCGCCCTGTCCAGACAATGTCCCCTCCCATCTCTGGCCCATCCTGGCTGTCAGCACACGTCCATCTAGTGTCAGGAGAAGGGGAGTCTCAGGAATAATGCGCGACAGGAACAAGAAGATGGAGATAGGAGACACCATCAAACACGGAATAGTTGGGGTCCTGCTAGCAGCCGGGGAGTGGACGATGGGGGCTGAGGCAAGGGAGTTGGAATTACAGGCAGCAACAAATCCATTCTCAGGAGGGAGGCCTAAGTTCCCAGCTCTGTGTCTCCATTCAGCCAGGCATCACATGGCCACTGAGAGCTTTGTAGGGCCTTCACCAACCAGGGTTACTATAACAAGGTGGCAGGTGTGGGGTGTGCTGATGCGGTGCACAGGGAATATTTTCTCCCAGTTCTGGGGCATTAAGGTCAAGGCCTGGCTGACTGTTTCTGCAGAGAATTTTATTCCAGGCTTATTGATGGCTGTCTCCTCACTCTGTCCTTGTATGATCTCTCAGATAGATGGGGTGGGGGTGGGGTGAAGAAAGGCTTAGAGAAGAGAAGGAAAGGATGGAGAAAGAAAAGGAGACAAACTTCTCATGGCTGTGCTGGCTTAGGTTTTGTCAACTTGACACAAGCGAGAGTCATCAAGGAGAAGGGAGCCTCAGCTGAGAAGACGCCTCCGTAAGATTGGGCTGTAGGCAACCCTGTAGGGCATTTTCTTAATCAGTGATTGATGGGGGCGGGGACCCAGCACATTGCAGGTGGGGGCCACCCCTGGGCTGCTGGTCCTGGGTTCTATAAGAAAGCAGGCTGAGCAAGCCATGGGGAGCAAGTCAGTAAGCAGCACCCCTCCCTGGCCTCTGCATCAGCTCCTGCCTCCAGGTTCCTGCTCTGCTTGAGTTCCTGTCCTGACTTCCTTAGATGATGACTATGATGTGGAAGTGTGAGCCAAGTGAACCCTTTCCTCCCCACATTGTTTGTGGTCATGGTGTTTCATCACAGCAATAGTAACCCCGACCAAGATGGGAATTGGTGCCCATTTCTGAGGAATGTGCAGTGGGGCCGTGCCCTGAGGCCACCACTCCCTTTATTTCATTTCGAATCAGGCCTTTCTTAAAACCTTTATCTCCTTGAGCAGAGGATTTGGCTCCAGTACATTTCCCGGTGTGCCTTTTTCTCCTCACACTGTCCGTTTTGTATTTCTCTCGGTCCAGCTTGCTGCTTTTCATTATAGATCCGCTAGATCTCTCAGGCCCATGAATCCAAAACTCTTCAATTTAGCCTTTAGGACAAGGACTTTAAAAGCAGCCACATGCTTTGCCAAAATATCCCGATGACAATCTCTAGGCCACATACTAATAATGTCCTTCCCCTCTGAAACTTCTTGAGCTGGGTCCCCGCAGTTCAAATCGCCCTCAGCACCGTCTTCCATGCTCCTACTAGGAAGGCTCATTAGCCCTGCTTCGAGTGCCCGCCTGCTTTTCTAGCTCCAAAGTCCTCCATATCCCTCCAACAAACAGCATGGTCGGTCCTGTCACAGCCATACCACAGTCCCTGGTTCCAACTTCTGCCTTAGTCGCTGTGCTACTGCTGTGAAGAGACCCGTGATCAAGGCAACTCTTATAAAAGAAAGCATTTACTTGGGGGCTCGCTTACAGTTTCAGAGGCTTAGACCATTGTCATCAGGGCAGGGAGCCTGGTGGTACACATGACATTGGAGAAGTAGCCGAGAGCTACATCCCCATCTGCAGGCAGCGAGCAAGACATTGAGTCTGGGGTGGGCTTTTGAAACCTCAAAGTCTACACACCCCCCGCCCCCCCTCCACCTCCCCACCCCTGTGGCACACTTTCTCTAATAAGGCCACGCCTCCTAATCCTTCTAATCCTTTAAATAGTTCCGTTCTGGGGTGACTAAGCCATTCTTATTCAAACCACCAGTTTCTAAGTATGATAGTCCTGTTGCCTAGAGCCCTGGATTTAGGCCTTGTTTAATTTTAAATGTCTCTCCAAAAACCCCATCATATATATATATATATATATATATATATATATATATATATATATATATATATATATATATATATGTGTGTGTGTATTATTTTATTATATATGTATATATATTCCATATATATAATACGTATATAACTGGCATACAGTTTTTTTTTTTGTTTTTTTGTTTTTTTGTTTTTGTGTATGTGTGCTATTAAGAGGGCAAGGCAGGTAATGGCCAAGCCTCATGGCCTGAGTTTGGCCCCTGGGATCCACATGGTCGAAGGAGAGAACCAACTCCCACAAGGTGTCCTCCGACCTTCACACATGCTCTCCAACTCCTCCCCCGACCTGACAAATAAATTAATAAGTGTAATTTCAAAGGTTTAAAAATCAGTACATAAGACAGACTAAATTACCGACCTACACCAAATGACGGGTTTCCCTGTGACATTCGCACACCTCTGCCTCGTGTGCTTTGCTGACTTTGAGCCTCCCGCGGCCCTCTTTTGGGTGTCTCCCTTCTTCCCGGCCCTTTCTCTTTCCCCAGTTTCCTTCCTTCTGCTTTTATGTCGCATACATTAGGTCTTGAGCCCACACGCCCTGCCTTTAGTGACAGTGACGCTGAGAGTCCAGGCTTCAGCCTGAGACCCCGGGGGACAATCCCAGTCTACAATGCTGCAAGACAGAGGATAGGGACTTAGGTTCATTGAGCATGCGCCTGACACCCTGAGCCTGTAGGACGGGTGGAGCGGTGGTCACGGGACTTCATAGAGAGAAGCAACAGTACCTCAAACTAACAGTCCCAGGATGCGATGGGCTGACTGGGGCCGGGTTCCCCAAGGCTGCAGTTTCCCAGAAGCGCCCCCGCCCCCTGCACTGGAAGAGACCCACCCGGACTGGACGCAAAGAGACGGCCATAGAGATCCCGGCAAACAGCTGCTCTGCCACCCCCAGGAAGAAGTGTCGTTTACGACGCCAGCCCTACTGTGCCAGCCTCGCACAGCCTGTTATTAATCATAATAATAACCATAATGAGGATGATTTGGACGTGTCATCGGTGGGCCCATTGCCATGGGAACGGGACACCCTGGGGTGGATGCACCAAGCCCGCCTTCTAACCCTCTCCCAGGCATGTGCCTACGCACGGCAGCCCCAGGCCGATGGCACTTGAGTGTCCGCCACCCCACCCCCCTCTCCTGTCCCAGTGGTCACCAGCCCCTGGAAGGACTGGCAGTGCCTAGGCAAGGTTGGCTAACCTACTCTAAGTCTGCTATTCTGCAGTAGACTTTTGTACTTTGGACTCAGTCCTCCAGATAAACAGATACAATGTATGTGAGTGGGATGTAGTATTGACTAATTTCTACCCTGTAGTCACATGGCCCTGGCCGCAGACATAGCCCTCAACTAGACATTCTCATGTTGCCATCACTACTGGAGGCATGAATGAATGTGCCCATTTGGCAGATGGGAAAATAGAGGCCAGAGTGTGCCTGAGTCCTCGCAGCTAACAAGCAACACAGGAGTCCTTACATCCTTAAATGCCAGCGGGTGTTCTTGATTCCAGAAGACAGATGTCACTCAACTCTGCCAACCCCGGGGTTTGCTGAAGCGTTTGGGCCCTCTGTACTAGCAGGGGACATGTCCTACCATGTTCCTTGCTCACAGTAGAGGAGACATTCTTGACGCTGGAATCTGGACCATCCTCTTCTCCAGTATGTATTAAATGAGGGACTTTCAGTGGAGGTTATTTTTCCTGCTGATGGGTCTGGAGACATTTCTCCTAGCTACAGTTGAGGGGGGGGGGTGTTCTCGGGGGAGGGGTGCTACCAACAACTGCTGCCTAGAGGCCAGGGTTGCTAGGAAACTTGGTACAAAGCACAGAATAGCCCCACCTGACAGAAACATCCAGAGTTTCTGAGCACTGAGACGAGAAGCCCGGAGTTAGAACTGATCTCATGGTGGCCACCTGACTGTGTCTGGCTCCCGGTGTAGGAATGTAGGCAGTGGACGGGTGGCCCCGATGTTGGATGGAGAGGCACCCCACAGAGAGCCCCCATCCACACAGGCTGAAGCTGCTGTGATTTTCCCAGCTCAATCTCCTCTCTTCAGCCCCTGTCTAGGGATCTCTGAATATCTGTGTTATCCAGATGGATGCTGTGTACCCTCTGAGAAAAAAAGGGCCTGGAGAACTGCAAGTTTAGAATGTTCCTAGCCTCCTTCACCCAACTAGGAAATGCATCAGCAGCTCTGGAACCCTGAACCCCCAAACTTCTGCCGCCTCATTAAGAGTTCTTTCCTTTAGGCCCGGGGCTTCTGAGAGGGTAGACTGTAAGCAGATTTTTAAGGAGGGAATGGACAAGCACTTTCTGTCTTCATTTTAATGTGTATTGGAAAAATACTAGTTTCTATTTATGGCTGTGCTAAAAGTCACTTATTAAAATATATTTAAGTTTCTTTTTTTTTTAAATTGGTTTTAGTAAATCATTATCTAGATCTGGGCCACTAGCCAGACAGATGTATCTGCACAGATTTAACTTTAATTAAAGTGGAATCAGGGTCTGTGAGTCGGCTCAGTGGGTAAAGGCACTTTGCTGCCCAGCCTGATGACCGGAGTTTGATCCCTAGGTTTCTCATGATAGAGGGAGAGGATGATTCCTGCAAGTTGTCCTCTGACCAACCCACCACATGAGTTCTGTGTGTGTGTGTGTGTGTGTGTGTGTGTGTGTGTGTGTGTGTGTGTGTGACAGAGAGAGACAGACAGACAGAGAGGCTAGAGACAATTAAAATTTTAAAGTGGAATTAAATCTCAAGCTCCATCCTTGGGGCTGGTGCCGTGGCTCAGCTGATAAATGCACTCGCCACCAGGCCTGAAGACCTGAGTTTGTTCCCCAAGATCCACAGGGCAGAAGGGAACCAGTTTCTGTAGTCTGACCTCTGACCTCTAGGCGTGTGTCAAGAACACACAAACACTCTCTCTCTATAGATATATTTAATCTCATCCCTTTGGTCAGTGTCCACCTTTGAAGGGCGAGAAAGCCACAGGAATTGGTGGCCTCCACGTTTGAGAGACTAGATAGAACAACACTGTCCCCGAAGATGTTCAGACGTGGGGGACATCATGATGGGGACTCTGACTGAGTGCCCTGGAGGGTCCAGCATGTCACACCTCATATAGCTAGGAAGCCTACCTGGAAGAGCCATAGAATGCAGCCAGCCCAGGTCCCCCTAGGGACTGCCATGGAGACTGTGGGCTTTCCAGTGCCCAGTCTTGATGCACCTGTCTCTTGCTCAAGTCCCTTGGCTGATACCCCCTTCTGTAGTAGTCTTTGGTCATTGGAAACATTCATGCAAGGGCCGCTTAGTCATCTGTCCCCAATGGAAGGCTCCGATCTGCTGGAGATGTTCAAGGTATTGGAGTGACTTTGCTTCCTTCCTCTAGACGTTTATCTCGGGGACAGTGGCAGATAGTGACAGCATTTTCCCACAGATGTCCAGTGCACTGCTGTTTATCATGGGGGGAAGGACAGTGCCCAACTCCCAGAATCCAGGTTCAAACATGGGATGCACATTGCCTTCCTGGGCACCGCTGTTTCTTGGTTTCTGGAACCCTCCTCTGGTCACCTCCCTGGGCTTTTGACCTAGCTTTCCCTTCTGGCTAAGATAATCCTTGTGTTCACATGGCCAGATCCTCTGCCACATAAAGCTTATGTCGGATGTGTCCTCGGCTGGGTCACAGGCCTCTGTTGTGACTCTGTGAAGTGTTTCTCACTGTGTGGCCTTTTTTCCATTTAATTCATCCACATTGGCTCTTCTTTCCTACCAATTCAAGGGCTCATACCTTGTTAGTCTTGTTTACAGTTGCAGATCTGGTACTAGGAATCTACTAGAATTTACTATTTGGGAGACTTGAGGTATTAATCTGTGAGATTTTTGCATAGTTCCTGTCTTTGTTAGGGTTTCTATTGCTGTGATAAAGCACCATGACCAAAGACCAAGTTGGGGAGTAAGGGTTAATCGAGCATACACTTCAGCTTTGCTGTTCATCACTGTAGGAAGTCAGGACAGGAACTCAAACAGGGCAGGATCCCAGAAGCAGGAGCTGATGCAGAGGCCATGGAGGGGTGCTGCTTACTGACTTGCTGTCCCTGGCTTGCTCAACCCACCTTCTTATAGAACCCAAGACCAGCAGCCCAGGGATGGCCCCACCCACCATGGGCTGGGCCCGCCCCCATTGATTACTAAATGAGAAAATGCCTTAGAGCTGGAACTCAAGGAGGCATTTCCTCAGCGGGGGCTCCTTCCTCTGATGACTCTAGCTTGTGTCAAGTTGACACACAAAACCACCCAGTATAGTTTCCCTAGAGGCAACAGAACACAACTTATAGGAACAACAGGAACAGACCATGTTCAGCGAAGATGAGCAAGAGAGTTCAGATGGCTTGGGCTTCCCTCCATCATCCTTCTCCCTGAGCCTCACCCCGGGTCTCAGCCTCATACAGACGGTCAGGGAATGTCCAGAGAGGAGGGTAGGAAGCTGTTAGAGGTCTTCCCAGGACCTGGGATCGGTGCTACAAAACAAGGCTCTCCCGGGCTTTGTCTACGCAGACGAGAAGACAAGCTACGCATCCAGAATGGCTGGCTGTGCCACCTGGCCCCAGAGATCATCCGTCAGCTGTCCCCCGACACAGAAGAGGACAAGCTCCCCTTCTCCAAGCACTCGGATGTCTTTGCTCTCGGGTAAGTGGGCCACATCCTGGCCTTTGACCTCCACAGCATGGGTAGAGCCACTGCCTTAGGGACATCTTTGGAAGAGTCAGGGCACAGGTTGGTAAGGGCAAGGTGGTATGACTTCTGAGTGAGCTTGGGGGACCTGAGGGGGATGTAATAGAACTGCAGCACACTTTTGTTTTTGTTTTCAAGACACGGTTTCTTTCTGTAGTTTTGGTGCCTGTCCTGGATCTCCTGCTGTAGACCAGGCTGGCCTCGAACTCACAGAGATCCACCTGGCTCTGCCTCCTGAGTGCTGGGATTAAAGGCGTGCACTACCACCAGGCCTGCAGCACACTTTTATGCCTAGTTTCTGATTATGGGGCCATGGCAAGTTACCCTACTTATTCATTCGTTCTTTCCTTCATCCATTTGTTCATTGTATACCAATTCACTGTTACATTGTTACAGTGTTCATTGTGTATCAGGTGCCTATGGGTCACTTCCAAGATGGCTGCTCATGCTCACTCAACCGTGCAGAGCAGTCCACCCTGCTGTGTGGAAGCCGCTCCAGAGAGCTCCCAACAAGATAGTAAATAGCCTTGTGGCAAATATGAGCCAAGTCTGAGGCATTACACAGCATTGCTCCCACCATATTTTTTTTTAAGTTTTCTTTTTGAATGTCGTATTTACATGCAACAGGATGCTTTGATAAAGTGTGTACTTGGCATAATGGTGGAAACCAGGGCAGTTCACACATCTGTCACCTTACAACTTCCTTTGAGTTCAGACAAGTATGCTGAATAGGAGAGCAATTACCGTAACTCGGAATGTGCTGTCTCCTTCTAACATGTGCTCCTTGTAGACAAGCCACCAAGTGTAGATGGCTCTCGGGGACAGGAAATGATGTTATCTCTGTCATTTTCAGAAAAGAAGGAGTTTCAGAACGTTTTTTGACTTCTGACGTCAAGCTGCTGAGGCTAGGACCCAGGGCCTTGCGCATGCGTGGCAAGGACTATGCTTCTGAGCTGCGATCCTGCCTTTGACCTCACAACTCCTTGAGAACTTCTACTCTGCCTTGTAGAGTTCCAGGAACGAGTGGGATGCTGCCCTGGGGATGAAGTCGGGACACTGGGGATGAAAGAGGATCCCTGTACCAACCTGGGAGGTGAGGGAGGGCCTCCAGCAGGAAATGACTCCTAAGCTGGAGTCGGAGATCAGATGCAGGGAGACAGGGAGAAGATAATTCATCTACAGTGGAGGAACATGTAGCCATGGGAAAGGTCCTGAAGGACAAGGGGTTGGGTTGGGAATGAGGCTGAGGTGAGACACTAAGGGAGAAAGCAGGATCAGGCCTTCATGGACTTAATGGTGGTGTGTAGTTCCATCTTCAAGGCACTAGGGAGCCATTGATGGTTATAAAGCAGGCAAGTGGCATGATGGCCGCAGGAGCCCCAGTTCCACCAGATCACTCTGGCTGCTCTACAGATAACTGAATGGGGAAGGACTTGGTGAAGGTTGGGTGACCAACACATAAGGAGGTATGGGTCATTCCATCCATCAGAAGCCGTGGGGGTGGGCTCAAAATAAAGAGGCCTTTACAGCGTATACGTGCTAGGGTTTAGTGATGGGGTCCCGAGATAGCTGCCATCGGTGAGTAGAAGAGCAGTGTTGGCCAAGGTAGTGACCTTGGAAGTGAGGCATGGTTGGGCTATGGAAAGAAGTTGGGTTATGAGCACAGTGAGCCTGACCGACTTTGGAGATGATTAGCAGAAGCAGGGGAATCCACATCCATGTCACCTCTGGAGTTGGGAGAGGAAGTATTTGTGTAACATCTGCAGCCATGGGGGGAAAAAAATGAGAAGCTCTCAGAAGCATAGAAGGATGAGAAGGGACCAAGACATAGGCGCAGGTCTCAATAATAATAGTAATAATAACAACAACAATCAGGGGTCTAGGGAGATGGTTCAGTCCATAAGTGCTTGTTACAGGATCATGAGGACATTAGTGTGTAACGTTAGTGACTATGTAAAGAACTGGGCGACTGAATGCTGGGGAGGCCGACACAGGTGGATCCCTAGAGCTCAATGACTAGCCAGCTTAGGTGAATTAGTGTTTCCACTAATTCAGTGAGAGACCCTGCCTCAAAAAAAATAAAGTGGAGAGAAATGGAGACAAGATGTCCAACATGCTCTCTGATCTCCACATATTTGTACATATTCATGCATGTGCATTTAGGTGTCATTTGCATACACACAAGAGCACTATAACACATCCGTAGACACGCACCACCACCACCACCAGATGAGAAAACGCAGCTAGGAAATAGCTGTGCCCTGTCACATAAATAGCCACCCTGATCCTTGCCTTATTTATGGGATGGATTTGAAGAGTGGGGAGCTAGTGCCAGGAACACTGACCGAGGAAGCTGCGAGGCTGTAGATTTGTGCAATTAGACCTGTCATCCCTGAGGCGCATTGGAGAGGCAGTCAGCCTCCAGGAGAAAAGCCCCCCACTGTGCCCTCACTGCTGGCCCCCAACTGTGCATTTTAAGAAGATCTCAAGCCTCAGAGCCTGTCGTTTGAACCCCTTAAGAAGCCATCACTTGGTCTAACTAGTTAATTCCCAAATCTTTATCTAGTTAGATATCATTATCTGGAACCAAATTGCAGTAATTAAGTTGGTTTATTTTTTACTGTGAATTTAACGGAAGAAAAAAATGTAATTAACAAAATGTACTAGAGTAAGTAATTGGTTTCCCACTAGGCTTTTCATCTATAACATTTTTTTTTTCTCCTCAAAGTGAATTTTTTCCTCTTAAAAGTTGGGTTAGGAAGGAAGTTTTAATGAGCCTTTTATTGGTGACACTGTTGGATTGCGATGGACCCCGCGCTCTCGGACTCCTGCCAATTAGGAGCATCCTGTTGCCAGGGAACCTCATGTTCAGGGATGATTAAGAGCATAAAGAAGCTGCTGGAAGTGTACTGAACGCTGCGTTGAGCTTTTCTTGTGTGTGGTAGCGTGCAGTCTTCACAAACACCTTTCCAAACGGGGGCCATGCTGTCCTGGATCGACCGGTTGAGGAAAGCGGGGCCAGATGGTTGTGAGAAGGTGTACAGCACCTGGTAGTGGCAGAATTGGGGTTCGGACCAGGGCCATCCTAATGCTGTGGCCAGGGCTTTGAACACAGCAGCCCACAGACCTGGGAGTGAGTTACGCTCAAAGCCTTGCTTCTCTCTATTGCAGATTTAAACTTAATAAAAACTTCTCCAGGAACTGGAGAGATGGCTCAGTCCTAAGTGCGTGGCATGCCAACACAAGGACCTGAGTTCAGTTCCCAGAACCGGAATAGAAAGCTGGGTGTGGTAGTGCATGCCTGTGATCCCAGCACTGGGAATGAGTAGACAAGGGGGATCCCTGGAGCTCCCTGGCCAGTCTGGATGAATTGATGAGTTCCAGGCCAGTGAGAGACCCCCGTCTTAAAAAAAAATCAAGCTGGGTGTGGTGGCACACACTTTTAATTTCAGCACTCAGAAGCTATAAGTAATCAGATTTCTGTGAGTTCAAAGCCAGACTGGTCTACATGGTAAGTCTGAGACCAGCCAGAGCTACGTAGAGAGACCTTGTTTCAGGCAAGCAAAGTGGACATACCTAAGGAATGATGCCGTGGGTTGACCACTGGCACCCACCCGCGTGTGTACATAGGTGTGCATAAGCACAGGCACACACAAACACACACACACACACACACACACACGTGTGCCCACAGGAACACATGTACACAAGGAGAGTAACAGCGAATCAATCAGTGAACTGGAATCACTTCTTGGGCTCTGGATGGAGGGATTAGGGAGGGAACATGGACCTTAAGTGTGAACAACTGGCCAAGGTGTTCTGAGTCATTTGGTTTGTTGTGAAGGGCACACTCCCTGGTCAGCCCCTCCCTGTCTACAGGAGCCAGCTGACCTAGGCAGGGGACGGTCCACCAGGGCCAGCAAGTTGCCAACCAGTCAAAGCATTGGAATAAGACTCACTGAGCATTAGGTATGGGGCTCAGCGTAGAGTGCTTGCTTAGCGTGTACGAGGCTCTGGGTTCAACCCCAGCAATTCAAAAGCAGACCAAACCTGCATTCCTCCAGACACTGTCAATCAAGCTGAGCGTCATGCTTCCACACTAAAGCCGGTGATGGAAGGCGTAAACCATAACACCCGTGAGACACTGGGCTCCCTCCCTAGCAACAAAGAAAATAAAATGCAGAAAGGATTTTTTGGGTTTATTATTTACTTATTTTTAACTTAAAATTGAGATTATAATGTAATGATATCATTTTCCCTTCCCTCCCCTCCCTCCAAATCCTCCCATATACCACACCTTACTGTTTTTCAAATTCATAGCCTCTTTTCCCATTCACTGATATTGCATGCATATATGTATATATTCACATCCTTAAATATAACCTGCTCAGTCTGTGTAATGCTACTTGCATGTGTTTTCAAGACCGAACATTTGATATTGGATAACCCTGGGGAAGACTGTTTCTCCTGCTCTTAGCATCCTGTAGTTCTTTGGGTAGGGTTGAGACCTCCTGGGCTGTCCCCGGCCACTTTAACCTGTCTGTTGCTGTTGTCCTTGTTCACCTTACATTTGGGCAGCACACCTAGAGACTAGAGAGATGATTCAGTGAGATCCAGGCCATCTAGGGCTGTATGGTAATGAGTACCTATTGCCCTTGCAAAACTCTAAAGTTTGGTTCCCAGCACACACATCAGTCAGTTCACAACCGTAACTCCTGAATCTCCGACACCGTCTTCTGGCCTCCATAGTCATGTGCATATGCCCACACATAGACTTAATTAAAAAATAAAACAAAATTTTAAATAAAATAAAGTTGCCTGTGGAGACCTGAGCTAATACAGCCCTTGGTCAGTCAAGGGAATGCCAGAGTGCCTTTGTGTTCCTTAAAGAAAAGCCCAGAGAGCCCGATGTGGTGGCGCACACCTTTAATCCCAGCACTTAGGAAGCAGAGGCAGGTGGGTCTCTGTGAGTTCCAGGACAGCCTGGGCTACAGAGTGAGTTCCAGGACAGCCAAGGCTACAGAGAGAACCTCTATCTCAGGAAAAGAGAGACAGGGTGAGGGAGGGAGGGAGGGAGAGAGAGAGAGAGGGAGAGGAAGAGGGAGAGAGAGAGGGAAGCCCAGAGGTCACCTTGTGGAGGAGGAAACATCCTTTTTATTGAGATATTCCTGAGGTGAGAGACCTGCCTCTCAGGGAACGGACTTCATTGGCCACAGAATAGCTAGCTCACTGACATGCCAGCCTCCCCAAGCTCCTCGGCCACCATCCTCACCACTGATGGTGCCTCATGATGGCATTGATGTGCCATCCAGCCACCACCACCCCCATCTGTGGCCAAGCTCAGCACTGGCGTCCTTTCTCCCTTTATTGTCCCGTTGTGATTTATGGGACGTGTGGCATGGCAGACATCCATGGAGTAATCCTAGCACTGTGTGCGGATGCTTGGCGTTCCACATAGACACCCTTCTGTGGGCACAGAGAAAGGGAGGCGTAGTTCGCACTGACTCATCCCACTAGCATAGACTTCGGCCGGTCTTCATCACACCACAGTCTCTCTGTTTCCTTCTGCCGCTCCACACTGTGATTCATCCTTACAGTGCACCGACAGCTATAAAAGAAAAAGCTCCCCCCCCCCCGCTACTCCTCATGGGCATGTTGTTGGCTTTCGTGATCCTCCCCCATCCATGCGTACATAGTGATTTTAAAGACCCCCATATCCGGCCGGGCGGTGGCGCACGCCTTTAATCCCAGCACTCGAGAGGCAGAGCCAGGTGGATCTCTGTGAGTTCGAGGCCAGCCTGGTCTACAGAGCGAGATCCAGGACAGGCACCAA